CAGACAGCTCTACACAGAGACAGGCTGACCATCTGAGCCAACATTTTGATGCTCAGTCATGGTAAACATGAACTTAGCCTTGGGGCTGGGTCAGCAGCTCTTCTGCCCATGTGCAAATTGGTTACCAAGGTTTGAGGATAAGAAGTTTGCCCAAATGAGGGGCAGGGCCAGAGCCCAGGCTTACAGGGCCATAGGAGTCCTCAGGTTTGCTGCCCTTGGTCCTAGGCTCAACCCCACATCTTACCCACTCCTGGCAAAGTTGGTCCAGTAAGCAATCATGGCCTTGGAGACAGTCCTTTCTTGGGCCCGGTAGCCCAATGGAGTGGCGAAGGGTTTTCCAAAGACATACTGGAGGTCATCAGCATGGTCAGCCCCCATCCATTTGGGGTAGATGGGCATCCGTGAAGGGTGGGAAAACAGGTAAGAATAGGTATTGGCACTCCTGAGGGGAACAGAAACAGACAGATTGGTGGGGGGCTCCATGGGGAGGTAGGCCCTGGAGAGAGGCCAGGAGGAGCAGGGCAGGGACTGATGGACCCCCAAGTCTTACAAATTGGGGTATGTTTGTTTGAGACAGGGTCTTTTTATGTGGCCTTGGCTGACCTGGAACTTACTATGTAGACCAGACTGGCCTTGAACTCAGAGATCCGCCTCCTGAGTGTTGGGATTAAAAGTGTGTGCTACTTGCCTAGTTCTCAACTGGAGTTTTGATGTCCAGGGAAAGAAAAGCTGCAGCCATGTTCATGGATCTGCAGTTTCATGGTTCATGGGTCCACTCTGCAAAATATTCAGAGGACTCTTCCCATAATTAATTATTTAATTTAATAATTAAGGATTTATTTCTCCCCGTCTGAATTCATATGTCTCACACGATTGGACAAGGTATATGCTTCTATTACCCATTTAATCTTGACTGATGTGTAGCCCAGAGCTAAATTCATTGCTCAGTTAGCCAAGAGGCCTTGGTCAAAGGCCACAGCGGTCGAAGCAGCCCTCTCTCAGGAGCCTCCTCCACATACCCCTTCCCAGAACCTCACTTGGCATGGGCTCTGTGCTGGGCCAGAGCCATCTCCGTGGGGATCAGGAAGAGGGCGTCAGTCTCAAAGGCCACCACTGTCTTCTTCTTGTTCTCCTGGGATGGGTCCTGGGCCCAAGACTCAGTGTAGATGCCAAAGGTGGCTTGGGCACCCTTAAGCCCCTTGCTGACAGTGCTTCCACTGACAAGCCTGTAGAAGTCCTCCCTGCATGGGGATGGGGGAAACGGACACTGGAAATGGTGGTGGTGGCAGGAGCATGTCTGTCTGCACTCACCCCAACACAACACCCACCTCCTCACGCTGCTCACCCTGTTAAGCATCCCCGCCTCCTCCACCCTGCCTTGGGGCTAGCCTCCCTCTCCCCAAGCAAGGCCTGTTCCTTCCCAGGTATTATCAGGTACATGCTGCCCTCCCTTGCTCACTCTGTGATATCCTGTTTGGACTTATCGATGGCTGGCATGTCAACAGTAGCAAACAGGTGGCCGTCCATGTCGTTAGTGCCAGCTAGGTAGTCAATGTCAGCGGCATTGGCATACAGATTGATGGGGTCATCAGGGATGAAGTCTCCATCGACAACAGGGGTGAAGCCCAGGTAATACCAAATGGGGTCTGAGTGGGAGAGCCAACAGGTCCTTATACTTTTAAATGCCGGCCGGGGCCTTCTCTTGACCTTTTGTACTAAGCTTGACCTCTTTTTTCCTTTATCTGACCAGACCAGGCAGGGTTCCTTAGCCCCAGCCTCAGGGACTTTTGGAGCTACTGTCAGCTTGGGATAGGATGACTGTCCTATGTATAGGCTGTCAGCTTGTCCCTAGCCTAACGTGCTCGACATCAGTGGTACCCTTCCCTGGTTGTGATAGGCAGACCGTCCCCAGACTTTATCTCATGACCATGTGGAGAGTTCACTGCTCCACAGGCCGGCGGCGCTGTCTGCTCTCCTGCTTCAGTGTCCCTGTCCCCGCCCTCTTTCCTTGTGAACCTACACCAGGGAGGAGGTTCTAGTCTGCTGGCCACCATGGATGAGGTCTGCCTGCCCTCCAGGCTTGCCAGTTGGCCTGTGCACTGGCTCAGCAGATGGAGATCCTGGCTGTCCTTGGGCCCGGCACAGTGAGGCTTCCTTCAGTGGCTCCCCAAACAAAACAGTTGGTTTGAGCGGCAGAGGCGCTCACAGGTCGAGCTTTTGCCTATCATGCATAGGCTCTGGGTTTGATCTATGATACAAGAGGACAAGAGGAACCGAGGGCACAAACGCTAAGACCGCTGGACTTCGCTTTAGAAAAGTAAGCAGAGAAAACAAATCCATTTCCTAGGCTGACAGGTTGCTTCTTCATGTTTGCTGGTAGCAGCTCCAGCCAGAAGGCCCAAACACCACAGGATGTATTTGGAAATTTGCAAATGATTGCCACATTAACAAGGAAGGTAGAGAGGTCCTGGGTCTGGGTCCACATATCTTCCTGAAACTATGTGTGGGTTCATGCTATCATGTTTTCCTTCCTTCCTTCCTTCCTTTCTTCCTTTTTTTTTTTTAAGATTTATTTATTATGTATTCAGTGTTCTGCCTGCATGTATCCCTGAAGGCCAGAAGAGGGCGCCAAATCGCATTACAGATGGTTGTGAGCACATGTAGTTGCTGGGAATTGAACTCGGGACCTTTGGAAGAGCAGGCAAAGCTCTTAACCACTGAGCCATCTCTCCAGCCCTCTTCATTCCTTTTTAACTTATTTATTTTTAGACAGGGAGTCTCACTATGTGACTCTGGCTGGCCTCTCACTGTGTAGACCAGACTGCTGGGATTAAGGTACACGCCACCACACCTGGCCATGTTTGGCTTATTAAATGTCCCTGGAGGAGAAGAAGAAAGATCAGTATACACCCCCCTTTACCACTGGGGCCTGCTAGAGGAAAGTGGCAGGAGGTTAGGAGCTCAGCCTTGCCTCACAAGGCCTCCCATCCCCAGCAGCTCACACTTACACTCCTGCTGTTTCAAGGGCAACCTGTAGGCCAGTGTCAAGGCCCGGGGATCTGTGACCTTCAGACACCCAGCCAACTTGCCAGTGTCGTCTGTGGGGCATCCCACCTTCTCAGCAATCTAGGGGATGCAGAGCGGGAGGTTAGAGGAAGCCATGGCCAGGCCTGGAACAGCTAGGGGCAGCAAAGGGAAGATCCAGGACAGCACAGCAATGGGAACGGCCCCCACCCTGGCTACTCCTGCCCTGCGGCACTTACCTTTTTGGCCCAGAGAAGTGGGTTCTCCTGGATGGCCCAGGGGCTCAGCGCCACGCCACTCTGACTGATGGCTCGCCGGATGAGGCCCTTGTTGTACGGGGAGAGGGTCTGCAATACCCAGAAGTCCTATCAACAGGCCATATCCGGACCAGAGATCCCAGCTGCACCCCACTCTGACCATTCTCCTAGGCCCCACTGGCTCCCTCCCGTAATCTTGGGGTCAGACTCTCCACACCAGAGGGTCCCAGACCTGCAGAGAGACACTGGCACCTCCGGCAGACTCCCCAAAGATGGTGATGTTATCGGGATCCCCCCCAAAGGCTGCGATGTTCCTCTTCACCCAGGCGATAGCCATGTGCTGATCTCGAAGGCCAAAGTTACCTGAGGGTATGGGGAGTATAGCCTTCATCAGGAGAGACCCTCAACTAGAGTTGGCGGAGGCTAGAGATGAGCGACCTGGGGTTTATACAGAGGGTGGCAAGTCATGTGAACAGGGGGAACCAGTCCTAATTGCAGTGACACCCTGGAAGAGTCCAGGATGGCAAACAATGGCTCTCCAGGAGGCTGAGCAGAAGTGGACTTGCAAGGGTGGGGAGGTCCAGGGAAATAAAGCCAGCTGGTGGCTCTGCTTGGGTCCTGCACACTTCCTCCTACTGTCTGTCTGTCCTTTGGCTGCCATGACTACTCGACTCTACCTCAGCCTCCCTACCTTGCTCTCCAGGACTCAGCTTGTGCCTCTGTCACTCTGTCCCTCAGCTTCTCTCATTTCCTGATGGCTGCCTAGAGCTCCCAGGTCTCACAGTTCAGCTCCTGTACCCCAACTCTCTGAAGAAGGTTCTGAGCCCTCCCATTGCCATCAGGGTAGAGAGTTTTGAAGTGTATCTGTCTGCTGGGTTCAGAGTTCACAGGGTTCAGCACGTTCACTATTGCAACCTACCTGGAAGGTTGGCGTCTCCGGTGCTAAGGAAACCCAAAGGTCCCACACGGTAGTTGAAAGTGACCACGATGACGTTACCCCGAGTGGCGATCTCTTCCCCGTCATACAGGTAGTTTGTGAGGAAATTGGCCCCATGGCCAGATCCCATGAGAAAGGCACCTCCATAGATCCAGATCATCACAGGCAGGTCCTGGGACACTGTAACAGGGGCAGACAGGGACTTCAGACAGCGGCAGGCCCACTCCCCAGTTAACTCATTAGCTCTGGTAGAGCAGATGTCAGCCCAGACTGCGGGGATCAGCAGTGGGCACCCCTCCTTGCCTCGGTCCTGATTTCAGATACGTTTGGCTTTGCAGCACCAAATGTACCCCACGGTAGAGTTTCAAGCTCTGGTGTAGGGGCTGGGGTGGGATCCTCTGGGAAACTGGGATCCAGACCTTGTTTCCTGCCCTGGGGCACCCAGATGTTGAGGTAGAGGCAGTCTTCTTGCCCATAGGTGCTGTCCTGGGTGAGGGTGGCCTGTAGGCATCGTTTCTGGAAGCTGTCGGCCTTCAGAGTCCCTACAGTGAGAGAAGGGGCAGGCATGAAGAGGACCAGCCCGGCCAGGGCCAGGGCCAGGACCAGCCCAGCACCCAGCACCCACCTTGCCAGCCTGGGTGACGCTCGGGATTCTCTAGTGTCTTGGCGGTGGCAAAGGGGATGCCTTTGAAGATGTCAACAGAGTCACCACCCAAGAGACTAAGCTTCTTGTTGACGCCCTGCACGAAGCCACCTTCTGTGTACACAGAACCTAGCTGCAGGAGAAATGTGGCAGGGTTAGATGGGTTTGGGCATGGCTAGCCTGAACCCAGAGTGGCTGACTGAACAGGCTCCAGGGTGCTAGCAGGTCCCCTGCCAAGTGCTGGAGGGGATGGTTCACCCCCGACCCAATCCTGGCCCATCCTTCTGCAGCTGCCTGAAGCCACTTCAGCCCATATTCTGCCCTTCTAGAATGAAGGTCTAGATCTCGGCTGAGTCTTTCTTTCTTTCTTTCTTTCTTTCTTTCTTTCTTTCTTTCTTTCTTTTTCTTTCTTTCTTTCTTGGAGCTCTGGTAAAGTTTTATTAAAGGAAAACTTCTGTTTTACCTTCCACCAGTCTGTTCTGGCATGCTTCTAATAATATCAGAGCCACTTGGGTCAAGGATAGCCGGCATGCATACTCTGTAATGTTTTCCACACACTGTACCCAATTCAATGTTATTGCCACTGTAGTGATGGACACCAGTTTTAGCCAACATAGCATAGTATTCTATGTCGGATTTCCTCAAAGCGGGGCAGTTGTTGGCGAGAATAACCAATTTCGCTTTGCCCTGTTTGATCATCTTCCGAGTCTGTTTGTATACCAGCACGTACTTTTCACTTTTCACCAACTCCAGAGACCTTTTCACCTTCTTTGCGACCACCATCTTCCTGCCTTAGGTGCGGGTTGGCCCCCAACCAAGACCAGCTGCCAAGACGGCCGGGGAGCAAGAAAGGCTCGGCTGAGTCTTGGTGTGCAAGATGGGCCACAGCAATTTCCCCAAGGCTTATGGCTGTCAGAGGGAAGGCCTCTCCAACTGCCAACAGTGGTGGATGCACAGTTGCTGCCAGAATGTTTCTGACATAGCCATGAGCCTCTGAGGACTGACTCTCCTTCCTCTACCTCTCCCCACGGCCTAGCTAGCTGGGCGTGGAGCTACATCCAAGTTCTCCCAAGGCCAATCAGTATTATCACTTGGTGACTAGTCATTTTTTTGTTTGTTTGTTTGTTTTGAGACAGGGTTCCTCTTTGTAACAGCCCTGCCTGTCCTGAAACTCAGAGACCCATCTGCCTCTGCCTCCTGAGTGCTGGGATTAAAGGTGTGGGCCAGCACCAGCTTAGCTGGTGTGTAGTCTTACCCAGTGGCCTGGAGGCAGGTACTCATTGGCCCACTGTTCCTGCAAACTGAGGTGCAGGGGCTTCCCCACTGGGAGTCATTCTGCTGAGACAAGGCTGCCCAACGTCTGTGCCAGTGCATGCCCCTCCCATCTGCTTGCATCAGTCCAGGACAATCGCAGGAGCAGCTCTGCTTACCTGGCAGCAGCGACAGTGTGACCTCCTGCTTCTCCCCTGCGCAAGGTTTCAGGTAGGGGGAAGTAGGTGGCCTGAGACTGCAGGCCCAAGCTAGGACCCCAGGAGCCTATGAAGTTCAGGCCCATGAAGTCCCTACTATACTGGGTGAGGAAACTGGAGAAAGAGAGAGTTGGGGAAACTCCACAGACAATTGGGACATCTGAGGTTCCTTGTTTCAGCCTCCGGGCTACTGGGATGAGTCAGAAAAGCCAACTTGGGGACGGGGGTTGTCACCTCTCAGTGTATCTGTGTGGTTGCGGTTGACCTGAGTGTCTGAGGTGGGGGCCCAAGGATGCAGGGATTCTGGCCAGTGTCAGAATGGGTGTGTTGGCTGGCAGTATATCAGTGGAAAGTAAGTTCAGGTCCTTCTAACACCCCAAAAGAACTCTCTCGAGAAAGGTAATTACTTCCTTCTCATGGCAGGAGCCCAGAACCAGCACCCCAACTTCCAGGCTCCAGGGAGGGAGGGTGTTCTCCAGGGCTCAAGCCAGCACGACAAAGGCTGGAGCATGAAGGCGGTGGAAAGTGTGGTGAGGAGCTGGGACCCCTGTCCAGGGATCTATGCTGTCTCCTGCATCTGTTGAGCTTTCTGTGACTTCCCCCGACACAAGGAGAACGGTGGTCAAAGGGCAGACTTTACAGGTACCCCAGAACTGGTACAGCCTCCTCCTGGTATTTGGAGAGAAGCCTTGCATACAGCAGGTCGGGTCCACCCCTTTCAGGAGGAGCAAGAAATGGAGGTTACTTGGGGAACAGGCCCTGATTTGGAACAGATTGAAATCTGCTCTGTAATGTCAGGCTAGCTGCTTCTTTCTCTATAGGGTTCCCCTAGAAAAGGGGAAAAGCCAGAGGTTGTGGGTAGACTTGCCAGATTTAGGCACACCAGAAACCACAAAGCAATAGTGGGCTTTTTAGTATGAATGCTCCAAATAGTGCATGATGTCCTTACACGCGAAACTGCTCCTGGCGTGTGATTCCAGTACAGTTCTGCAGGCTGCGCTAGGCTTCCTGTGAGCAAGACAAGCTGGGTGTGGCCCACGCAGGACCAGAACCTGTGGTGCTAGTGCTGCTGAGCTTGCTGGCCTCTTCTTCCCTTTCTATGATCTCTCTGTCTTCCTTCCTCCAGACCCTGCCCCCAGTTTCCAGATCTTAATGCAAGACAGGTCCTCGGTCCCCTGCAGGGCTCTGACTTACCTTTGCAGCACAAGCTGCTGCCAAGCAGCAGGTGAGGCCAAGAAACAGAACCTCCAGGCGCCCCATGGTGAGTGGCTGCCCCTAGGCGCCCTTCTCTCCATTTCTCCTTTATTTATGGAGCTGGAGCCAAGGTCATGTGCGTGCATGCCATGTACTCAGATACACAGGTGTGGGATGATCCATTTCTCCCAGGTCAGGCTGGCCCCGTGCATCCTGTGTGGCGCCCAGTGTGCACCTGTGTGGGTTACTGCCTACCTGGGAGCAGAGGCAGGTGGCATGGATAGTGTGGGGGAGGGGCACCCCAGGGCCAAACCTGGCTGGGTGCTGGGTGTCCTGCATTCTGTCCTACTAATGCTGTCATTTTAGGGTTTAGTGTGCTCAATCTCAAGGTGCTGAATGCCCTGTACCTTAGTGGGGAATCCATGAGAGACTCTTGTGGTAGCTGTGTGCTATTGGGCACTGGTGTGGTTGACCCTTGCTAACTCCACTTGCACTAAGTATGGGGCAGTGCAGGCTGAGCTGAGTGCAGGAGGCACAGAGTCCCGGGAGTGCAGGACAAGAAACTAGGTGGACATAGTGGCACAGATGGAGGGGAGCTCCCAGAGCGAAACCTGCTGTGGCTCACTTACCGGGGCTTGGTGGCACCTTCAGATAAAGGGTCATATTTCACCCCTGTGCCTTGCTGGAGGGTGGGGTGGGGCTCCCTGGAGAACACAAGCAAGGATTCTGGGGCATACCCAGGCAGAAAGACAAAACCTTGGCAGAGCAGAGGCACAGAATGAGGGAGGGGGGAGGAGGAAAGTACTGGGTTTGGAGGTGAAGGCCAGTATGAGGTTATCAGAACAACCACCATCCTAGGGATGTGTACTTTGGCTACCAGGAAAACATTATCACTGCGACGGACACAAACCAAGTCTTAAGAGACTCCCTGTAAGGAGTGCAGCTGCCTTTTACACCTGGAGGACACAGCAGCTGGCCAGGCGTAGCCAGAGTCTTCCTTGACCAGCAGCCCTTCCAGTCCAGGAGCCCAAGTCCCCAGCTCAGATCACAGCTCCGCATGTGTGTGCCGGAGCACGGGGGAACCTACAGATCCACATGCACCACTGCATTCATGTGTTGTGCCCAATCCAATGTGCAGGTCTCCATGGTGCACAGTAGGTGTGCACATGTGAGAGGTGGGACGGCAGGAAGCTGGGACACAGCGGAGGTGGGGTAGCAGGAAACACGCATGGTGGGTATCATGCCAGCTACTGATTCTGAGAACAGTGCTAAAGAAAGTGATTCTGTACTGGAGAGCACGGGTTGAGCAATGCAGGGTAGCTTAGGAGGAAAGCGGCAGGAGGGAGAAGTGGGGGACAGGGGCCTCTCTCTCTCTAGTTTTTAGAATACTTTTCGATTCACAGCAACACTGAGCAGAAAGAAGAATCCTCATGTCCACTTCCCTGACACCAGAGTAGCCTATCTCTACAGAGACAGACCCACAAGGACACACCTCTGTCACACAGTCCAGTAGTGCTGGCTGCTGCTGACACTGGATGTGGCATGCAGAATTCTTTACGGGGAGACCCTAGGGCCACAACTGGATGCTCACAGTTCACAACCTCTCCAAAGGCTGGCCTGAAAACATCAAGGTGAACTAACAGAGAGGACCACACAGAACACTAACCCCACTGACACAGACACACCAGGATTTAGGCATGCCATTTTAATGGCGGTTGGTTTTTTTTTTTTTTTGAGGGGGGTGTGAGAGATAAAATGTTTCCTAAAAAGCAAAGCCCTCCAACATTGGTGCCACAGAAAGCAGAATGACAACCACAACTCAGGCCAGGCCTGCTGCTGCCACTCCCCGCTGTGTGACCAGAGCCTCAGTTTCTCTAAGGAAGCTCTCTGACAAGGAGTTCCTGGCATGGCAAGCGCAGGGTCTGCAGTTCCCTTTCCTGGCTACAGGTGCCTTGGGAGAGGTGCTTATACTTTGCTCTCAGGCAGGAGACATAAGCTTAAAGGGTGCAGTGGGTCTTAAAGGAGCCAGTGAGTGGCCTCACCTGGGAGAGTCCCTTCAGGCACTGGCCTGCAGAACTCACCCCAATTACAAAGAGCAGAGAGGCTTAAATGACCCCAAGCAGCCTTCCGATTTTACCATGTTACATTGTCTAATTTATCAACTGTTAAACGTATGTATTTCAATGATTTGTTATTTTAAACCATGTGTATATGTCTGTATGGAGTATGCGCACCTGAGTGCAGGTGCCCCCAGAGGCCAAAGGGCTGCTGGAAAGAACTGGAAATTGTATTAACTATGGTGATCAATGTCATCAATGTCACATTTTTTTAAAAATATTTATTTATTTATGTATACAATAATCTGTCTGTGTGTATGCCTGAAGACCAGAGGGCACCAGACCTCATTACAGATGGTTGTGAGCCACCATGTGGTTGCTGGGAATTGAACTCAGGACCTTTGGAAGAGCAGGCAATTCTCTTAACCACTGAGCCATCTCTCCAGCCCCCTCAATGTCACATATTAACTAACAGGGTACACAGATATTTGGTCAAGGTAGGCACGATGTACACATCTTCGATCCCAGCATGAAGGAGGTAGAGGCAGAAGGATCTCCGTGAGTTCAATATTAGTCTACACAGTGAGTTCCAGGACAGCCAGAGCTACATAGAGAGAGCCTGTCTCAAAACAAACAAACCACCAAACCCTAAAACACTTGGTCAAGCGTTCTGATGTTTGAGGCTTTTTTCAGATGAAATGCTGTTTAAGTCAGTGGGTGCTGACATGACAGCTCAGCCTCTATATGGGTGGGCTTCATGCCCAGTCTACTGCAAGCCTGAGACTGGGGGGGGGCAGCGTGCAGCCCTTTCACTGAATCTCCACCCTACACCATGCCCCAAGGCTGTGGACCTGTACCGTAACTGAAAGCCAGCTGCTTACAATAAATTCTAATGGTTCTGTGCCAAACAGCACTGTAGTTCTGTTAGAGACAAGTATGGTCTTTTCTCAACCACACCCAGCAAAAACACAAATAGAAAACAATACCGGGATGCAATATGCACCAAGACTCAGGAGCTGTGAAGTCAGAGGACTGGGAATCAGCTGCATGAAACACAAGCACTTCTGAGGGCATTTTATATTTTCATACTGAAAACACTTTTATTTACATGGGAATTCAGGAGAAGAATCACCACCCTTTGCTAGGCGTGGCTAGTGCTCAGGAAGTCCTAGCTTGGCCAACCTAAGGCAAGACTGCTACTGCCCTGGGCTCTGTGTAGGTAAGGCCTTCAGAGGGCATGGGGTCCCTTCCTCAGAACCTTCCTCAGATCTACAGTCAAGGTATTCTTGGGTGATGGGACCAGAACCTAGATAGACCTCCCCAAAGACCAGGTTGGGCAGCAGCTCGAAAGTGGGAATGCTCCTGGCTGAGGTGTCCTGGCAGCGTCTGTGAGAGAAGTCCTGTGGGGCCAGGCACTCTTTAGGGAAGAATTACTTCCTGCCTCCGGGCTGAGCTTTCTTTGAAGCAGCAGGGAGCAGGGTCATCAGAGGACAAGGGTCCAGTTGCTTCCCTGAAAGGCTGGGAAGTTCCCAGGGGTGTCCACTTGGGCCAAATGAAACAATGGGTCCTCAATCTTGTCAGGAGGGTGGGCTGGCTCAAGGCATCTGGCTTTGGAATTGCTGTGACTTGACTATGTGTGCCAGGCCGCACGGTTCAAGGGGCGGAGGCCGCACAGAGAAACAAGGCAATGGCCCATCTCTCACTCAGCAACCTTCAGGAAGTGGTGTTGCTGCCCAGGGGCTTGGGAGGCCATGCATGGGAGAACCTTCCAGGGAGGCCAGCTTGGCAGGGACATGACAGGCTCTGGTTTCACAAAAGGAAGCTGTGAGACAAGAGGGTGTTTCCAGGGAACTGAAGAGCTGGTCCATTTGGCGAAGTCAGGCTGAGCCTGGTCTGAGGTTGCCCAGTGTCCTCATCTCCCCACCCCGGATGGGGGCACAGGCCTATCCCAACTGTCCCATCACGGTACACCAGCATGTCCTGAATGAGTGAAGGAACAAATGAGGTGCTAGAGAGCCTCAGGCAAGAGAAAACATTCCCAGATCTAACCCCCCAAGTTGAGACACCCAGACACCTAGGAAAATTCATTAACAGGACAATTATGGCTAGGCCTGTCTTTTACCAACACTACCCCAGGCAGATGCTATCTAAACCAAGGGTAGTCTGGCTGTCTGTGATGGCAGACCAGGCTCCTCAGGTCATCTGTCATTATATTCACAAGACCTCTGTTAGGATGGGTGTCCCAAGCTTTACCACTTCTGGCTTCTACTGCTCTTGGCCTCGGGTCATCTACATGGCACTAGGGTTGTCTTCAAACACCCAGGGCAGAAGGCAGTACTGAGCAGTGGGTTACAATCAGAGCCAGGGCCTGCTTCTTAAGACACCAGCTTTCTTCAGAGGTGCCTTTGGGGCCACCCTCACTACCGTGACCTGGCTCTGGCTTCTTTGTGAGGATAGCTGCCAGTCTTACCTGGCTGCCTGGGGCCAGCGCTGTCACACATAATCCAGAATCTCTGTCTCCATCTCATTTTCACTCCCATCCGAGGGCTTGAAATCCTCCTCTTCCTCCTCTTCCTCTTCCTCCTCGCCCTCCTCTCCAGACTCGAACATCAGCTGCCCTTTCCCTCGATCTGCCTTACCTGTGTCGGAGAAGAGAGCTGCGCGAGAAAGAAAGAAGGCTGTCTCCCAGTGCAGGCTTCCTGGTGACCTGGAGCTCATTTACTAGGACAGTTACTATGGAAAGTACGAGGGCAGGACGCAGGAAGGCGGAGCTTCACAAGGCATGTTTCAATCCATTTTTTTTTTTTTTTTTGATTTTTGAGACAGGGTTTCTCTGTAGTTTTTGGTGCCTGTCCTGGAACTAGGTCTTGTCGACCAGGCTGGCCTCAAACTCACGGAGATCCGCCTGCCTCTGCCTCCCGAGTGCTGGGATTAAAGGCATGCGCCACCACCGCCCGGCTCTCAATCCATTTTCTGTAGTCATGAGCAGCCTGGGACCCTATGCACTTTGAAAAGGCACATACCAGTGTTCCCAGAAAAGGGGTTTAGCCCGTGTCCCAAACAGAGGCAGGAAGCCCTGCTCTACACAGACGCCCACTCTAGCCTGGAAGCAAGTCCTTTGCAAGAGGTTTTCACTGCTCTGCAGGTCCCCTTTGTAGACCCCTGCCCCAGTGGCTAGCTCTGGCTTTGGTTTGAAAAAGGAGCTAGGGATTTACAGTGCAGGCCATGGGCCACACAACCCCACGGGAGGAGATGGGCAGAGCTGCCATTCCTGTACAGGAAGTATCATAGCGGAGTCCTAGCTCACATGCCTCCCTCCATTAAGGGTGACGGACAATATGAGGGTCTCTGGAGCTTCTGTCAGAAGGTAGGTCTGAGGCCTCCCGGCCCATGTGGTTCTTACCAGGCCTCTCAGAGCGGATGGTCTGCAGAATCATGAGTGACATGGTGTCCCTCAGGTGGTCTGTGGTCTTGGGAAGGCACCATCCATCTCTCTCCGTGCACACACTCTCTGTCCCATCATTGCGGTGAACAATTTTCTGCAATCTGCGGGCAGAGTCCAGGGGCAGGGTTCTATGGTGGGGAACTCAGACAGAGCCCCAGAGTGTGGCTCCATGTGTGCTGCCTTGTGGGACAGAGTTCCAGCACAGCTCTATGGGCAGGGGGTTTGTTGGAAAAGGATGTCCATGGGGAAGCTCTTACATGGGGTCTGTGTGACAAACTGCTGAGGGAAGTCTCAGAGGTGGTGTGTAATGAAGGTCTTGCAGGGATGTTTGCTCCCAGCTGGGTTCCTTACCATTTGCAGTCTCTGGACAGAAACTCCCACCCCTACCCACCCCAGCAACAAAAGAAAAGGCAAACAAAAACTAAAGAACTATGCAAAGCTGGGTGGGTGTATACCCAGGCCCACTTTCCTGTCGACAGTCAGGCTCTCCCTAGATTGCACATGCTGCCTGGTTCCTTTCCACGCTGTTGCCCCACTCTTGTGTTTTCTAAACTTGCTTGAGAACAAATGGGCAGGTGTCCAGGATCCATGTCAATCAGGGAGACTTTCAGGAAAACACTTCAGCAAGAGTCACTGCTATTAGCAAGCAGGGCTGTTCTCTACAGGGCACAGTGCAGCCATGATTGCTGGTCTCTGCCTTATAGCCCACATATGGCAGGACCAAGAGCAGCACCCAACTCCCAGTGGCCAAGTTTCCCTTAACACTCACTGCAGAAGAGCTGCAGAGAACACTGATCTAGCCCACAGCCCCAAGGAGCATCAGTGGCAAAGGACCCTCATACATACTCCTCCACATTCAAATCACACAGCTGGTAGAACATCTGTCGATAGGGTGGCAGAGCCCCTTCCCGGAAGATGTAGACCGAATCCTATGGACAGGAGGGAAGAGAATGGGGTGGTTATGTAGCACTCCAGGGTCTGAAAGTGCTAAGTTCATCCATGCTGTGGCTTCCATGGGAGTCTAAGGACTTGGCTTGTCCCCAGGCCCAGGGGGCCAGCAGATGCGGAGAAAGGAGTCTCTCACTCTCCAGGAGGTTCTGGGGGGTGGAGGCAGTCAGGCCCTCCTTGGACCCCTGGAAGTCTGCCACCAGCCTGTACTGGGCTCCGCCTTCTGCGCCTTCAAAGGATCGGATCTGTCCCTCACCAGCTGTCTCTAATCAGTCACTCTGTATGCCGCCGCATGCTCCCTTGAGCGCTTTTTCGGGAGGAGGGCAGCATTTAATGAGTATCATTTTCTCTTCTTTCCACTCGGAATGCAGCCCTGAAGTCAAGGACAAGGCTCCAAGACTTTGGTGGCCAAGGCATGATGGCACTAGGGGACAGCTGCCTCGCTCGTGTCTCTGTGCTACATCTTCTGTCACAGCCACTCACGCAGGGCATCCAGGGTAGAGAATACAATAGCTTGGCCTCTCGCAGGACTGCAGAGGGCTCAGGAGAAGTGTGGGAGGAGCTAACCACCGTGGGGTGACACTGATGGAAGCCCTGGAGGTCTGGGTCCATCCCATCGCACATGTCAACCCACAGCTGAGCCCCAGATGTTCTGGTCTGGCCTGTGCTCATGTCTATGCCCAAGTCCTGTCATCTCAGCAGTAGTTACAGGCCTCAGGGGAGCCAGGCTCCCCAGGGGCAGCCGCACATCTGCTGGTGTCAAATTTCCTTCTCAGGACCTGTCACCACCTCTCTGCACAGATGGCCCTAGTTCCCCATGGCTGTGGGGTAGATGGCACTCCAAATTCTCATTTTGTTTCCAGAGGGGTCTGAGGTGGAAGTAATGAGAAGGCACTCGGTAGGCAGAGAGTTCAGTCAGTCATAGATCCTTCCCAGAATCACAAACGCCCAGCCCTGCAAAGACACTCTATCCCCACACTGGAGCCCGAGGACACTCACCTTGAGCTTGTACTTATTGTAGGTCAATTTCAGTGGGCCGTCTGTTCCTGATGGGCCCAGGCCCTGCTTTAGGTCACGTATGTTAACAAGCTGGTTGGCTACATGGGAGCAAGGCAGTGCTTTGGAATAGAGGAAGTGAGGACAACCCAGTCTGACCCTTTGCACCTGTCTGTAAGGAATAGCCAGCAGACCTCCCATCTTGTTGCCCACCTCCCTTGGCTATGTTCTGATGCAGGCAATCCAGCCACTTACATGTCTTCTTGACAGTGATGGGGAGGCTATAGTTGTATGTGCTGCGCTTCGCTTTGACAGGCATATCCCTGGAACCATAACCTACACGCAAGGGCCATGTGTCAGACAGAAGTAGGTGCCAAACCCATCTGGGCAACAGTCAGGGGTTCACCTTAAGGTGGTCAACTCCGTCTGCCACCTACAGGAGGAACGGATGCCAGCACATCTAGCAGCTCTCACACGCTGATGCCCTTAAGTGGTTTCCTGGCATCCTGGGCTTAAAATTTTTAAGAAGGACCTGAGTCATAGGTTTTTGCTTATAAGCTAGAAAACCACAGCATAGTCAGCAAAGATCTTCTATTTCCAAGATCCTTTATATTGTTCCATAGATTCTCAGGGGTGGGAGAGCCTTGGGAGGTACAGAAATGTTTCTGGTCTCTCCATAGAAATACTTTTTTTTTTTTTTTTTTGAGATAGGCTCTCACTATATAGCTTGGATTCCCCTGGAATTCACTATATAAACTATGATGGTCTTGAACTCAGAGATGCACCTGTTTCTGCCTTGTGAATGTTGGGATTAAGGGTGTGTGCTAATATTTCTGCTGGGAATAGGCTCTTAAAGGTGTGGGTACTATTTTTAGTATAGATTATAATTTTATAAGCATACACACGCACACATTTAATTTTAAAATTATGTGTGTATGTGTGTCAGTATGCGCATGTAAGTGCAGATGCCTATGGAGCCCAGACGTAGCATACAAATTTTCTGGAACTAGAGATGCAGCCAGTTGTGAGTTGTCTGACATGGTAATGGGAATTAACCATTGGGTAACCATGGGTACGCTAGGGTGGGTTTGTGACAGAGACAGGACTGCTCAGGCTTACTGGCTTCCAGTCAGCTCAGAAAACCTGAATCCCAGGTTCATGAAGAGATTCTGCCTCAAAGAACTGGTGGAAAGTGACACAGGTCATCTGACCCTTTTTTCTGGCCTCCACATGTGTGCACAGGAGTGCTCACGTGCACACACATGCCACATGTGCTTATACTAACACACACAGATACATACACATAAATCTTTTTTTTTTTAAAGGAGTCTGATTGAAATGGAGGATACAAAGAGACAAAGACAGAAAATAAACTTATTTTTACCGTATTTCATTCCACAGCGGATTCGAAAGTCAAGCACTTGATAAATTTTGGCATCTGGGTGTTTTCGAGGGTCATAGCCAAAACGAATCCACAAGCTTCTCCATGGACCTGTTATCTAAAGACCAAAAAGTACTGCATATGAGGTAGGGCCAAGAGTCCTTAGTACCTGGGTGGAGGCCAAGCCCTGCAGTGAGGCAGCAGGACCCCCAGCTCTGAGAGCATGGCTTTAGATCCCACCCTTCGACAAGATTCTATGAGGATGAAGTGAGATCAGGAGTTTCTACTACTGCTCCTGGTGTCCACAATGCCCTAGTGCACGGATTCCTGTCCTTGAACGGCACTGCAGTTAGAAGTCATGTTCAGGGAGAGAGGAGCTCTCCAGGCTGGAGTCCACAGTGCCCCTGCCCATCACCAATCTCTGAGGTCATGTTTTATGCTGGCTCCCCTTGGCAGGTAAGCAGGACCCCCTTTCTTTCGAATGCTTAGGAACCTTTGTACCACCATGCCTATCTCCATCCTCTCCTGGGAGGAATCAAGAGTGGACTTCTTTCACTAAGCCCTACTCAGTATGAGCAGCTGAGCTGAGAGATGTTGTCACTCGGGGGCCTGGGCTCTGGGCTGCAGAACCAAACAAGGCAGTCAACTCTCAGAGCCCTGCCTTTCCTCGGAGATAAAAAGGGGCTCTTACTGTCACCTCCAGAAAGAATATGTGAAATGTAGGCTGACCCAGTGCTAAGCCCTTAGATGCTTAGCACAGGATGCTTACCTATGACTTAGGAAATGCTCCTTCATCTAAAGTCATCCACATATAGCCAGAAACATTATTAGAAGGCTGTGGTAGACCAGGGAGTTTTGAAATCTTTCTAGCTGTTTCTTTTTTGTATGTATGTCACTGTGTGCACGTGTATGTACACCAAATACCTCTGTGTGTGTGTGTGTGTGTGTATACACAAAATACCAGAGGGTGTTGCTGGTTGCTATTTATCACTCTTCACCTTATTTTCTAAGATATACTTCCCCAGGATCTGCCTAATTACACCTGCTCAGCACTGGGGTAACAGGCACATGCCACCATGCCCAGCTTTCATGTGGGTGCTGGGGATCCTCCAGCCTGTGCAGCGAGCACTTTACCTACTGAGCCATCTCCCCAGCTCTCTATCTAGTTTAAACAAGTTGTCTCAGGGTAACAGGTGGCAGGGATGCTAGAAGGTATGTCTACCTTTTGTTGCTATGGCTCTAGTATGTCACATGAGGGATCAAGAACCACAATGGTGGGAACCAAGGTGAGTGTGAGACTAGCTGCCACTTACCATGTAATAAGCCATGTAGGGAAGTAAGATCTTGAGCTTGTCAGGGTGGACACTGACGTTAGACTTGACAGCATTTCGTGACCAGATTGGACGAACGTCAAAGAGCTAGGGAAAGTCATAGACAGAGTCTGAGATGAACACCAACAGCTACTGGCCTTTTCACATCCTGTCCTGTGTGTCTGGGCCCCAATGGTAGAAGGCAGGGACTCAACAAGACTCTGAAACCTGCCACACCTACCTCATAAACCCCTTCCTCCCTACTCCTAATTCTTTAAAGGCCTAGATTATACAACCTGCACATGAAAGTGGGATCCTGAAGTGACCACACAGTTCCTGTCCTTGCATGGTTCACAGTGCGCCGGAGCAACAAGACTGAGCAAGCTCATGCTAAAACCCGAGAGCCCTGATCTTTGCTAACCTGGAATGCAAATGCTAGAGCTGGGACTTCAAGAAGGTGAAGGGGATGGCCTGGTCCTGAGGAGGGCTGTGCAAGGTCACTGTGACCAGAGAATGGAAGGCCAGGGCAGAGATGAGCTACAGAAAAAGGCTCAAGTGACTATTGAGATTCAGTTAAGAGTTGTGCTTCTGAGGGACCCTGTCCTTGAACAGGGTCTGACTTCAGCTTTGACAAGGAAAGCCTCACTGAGACCCTGCTGTTTAGGCCTATGGACCCAGCAGAAACCCAGTCATATAGCCCAAAGGGACTACAGTGCCCTGTGACGTGTCCCCAGCTCAATCCAGGATGAAGGTGCCACAGTCTGGCACATGACCATATGCCATGGGCTTGTTACAAGCAATAGCTCTGCACGGGCTGCTAGACCCCAGCTCCACAGTCGGATCACACGCAGCAGTGACCTGTCTCTGGCACCCCAGCTGGGCTTTGACCCAGCAGTGTCTCCCAGTCTTCTTTCGACTTTCTGAGATAATCTAGGTTGCCAAGGCTAGCCCTGACTCACTCTGCTGACCAGCTGGCCTGCTCCTTGCACTACTTCTGCTCCGGGGGTTATAGGCCTGTGCTACCAATCAGTCTAGAGAAAGCCTCGCCATCCTGAACGCTGGAGTAGGAGTGGCCCAGCAGGCGGAGTGGGGCTGAGACTCACCTGCCTCAGCTCTTCCTCCACTTTCTGATCTATGGGGTTGGTGCAGGCCTTCTTCCACGTCTGTACTGCAGCCTCCAAGGGCTGTAGAGGTACCTCAGGGTCCTCAAAGTTGACAAAGATGGCGTTATGGGGGCGTCGGGCTCTACTCAATCCAATCAGGTTCTCGCCTGAGATGGAGGGATTGTGATAGCCTTCCCTGTAGACAGAGAGAGAAGCTTAGATTACCGACCCAGCCAGGCAGGCAGGGAATCCAGCAGGCACGCCTCACCACAGACCACACCCGTGTGCCTTTTTCTGGATCCGTGGAGAGAGGACCCTAGCACTGCCTGTTGGAGAAGCCCATGCTGGCAGGCTGCCATCAAGGGAGAGAAGGAGCTGTAACTGTCTGCAGTGGCTCAGGGAAACTCCGGGGCCAATGGTTCTGAAGGAGGGCAAGGCCCCAAAGTCCCAGAGACAGGGGTATGGGAAAGGGCACCATCACAAGGCTGGTGGCCTCTCACCTGCAAATACATGGAGCCACACACAGCAAAATCCAGCCAGTGCAAAGCTGGGCACAATCCAAATGCCCATCAGCCACATATGTGGACAGTGACGTGAACTCTGCCCATTTACATGACTCACTCAACTCTCAAAATGATTCTCCAAGGAAGGAGTTTCTGAGGAAGTACCTGAGGCCACCAAGATTAGAAAATGTGCCCAAACAGCATCTCTACAGGAGCTGGGCCTCAGCCCCAAGACGCCTGGCAACTGTCCTTCTCCCTAGCACAGCATGACTTAGTTCAGAAGCATTTGGACAGCACAGATAAATGACAAGGATGCAGGCAGATGGCATTACCAAAGCCCAGAGGTTAAGCCAGGGTTCTACCTGTCCTGTCCATATCCATAGCGTCTAAAAACAGGAGAGACCCATGTGAACTTTACCCTGTGGAGTGGTGTGTCCTGCCCTCTCTGCCCAGGAACAAACAGACCACTTTGTGTATGTGCATGAGAGGGGTGAGAAGTGTGTGAGATGTGCTTCTCATACACAGGGGTACCTAAATCTCCACACCTTCCTCAGTTCGCTATGAACCTTTAAAACAAACTCCGTACATGTATCAGCACAGAACATGCCTGGGTGGGTGGCTCCTGAAGCGCTCGCAGCAATTCCCTTACTCTTTGAGGGTAGACACCACTAACAGCAGACACAGAGACATCAGCATCAGGAACCCTATGGATGCATCCTCAGCCACACGTCGGCCTCTGCTTCCCCCACACTAGCCCCACCCCCACAGCTCTTCAAAGTGCATTTTACTGGATATCACAAGCCCATTTGCAGTTATCACCTTTTAAAATATATTGATTTTATTTACTCGTATGTGTCTGTATGTTTATGCAATATGTGTGAGGGACAGAAGTTGTGAGCCACTTAATGTGGGTTCTGTGAACTAAACTCTGGTCCTCTGGAAGAGCAACAAGTGCTTCTAACAACTGAGTTACCTCTGCTACCCCTTTACCTTTAAAAAAAAAATCTCTGGCTATGTAACCCAGGCTGGTCTAGAATGCCTAGGTTCAAGCAATCCTCCTCAACCTCATGCAGTTTGCACTTTACCCTACTTTTCTTCATGAGTACATTTCACCTGCAAACTTAAAACAAACAAACAGTTTTCACATTAACAAACAAAATATGAAACACGGGGTAAAGTCTGTCAGTTTTCTTTTTTTCAAACATACCTCTCAGGAACCATCCTAGGTAAGTACAACACTATCCTGCTTTAAAGCCCTTCTCCCTGAGCCCCCAGCACCCTCAAGAAGGAAAGTAGTGGCTGCTTTTCGCTTTAGAGGAGCATGGAGGGGAGGCACGGCTGCCTCTGCTGCCCGTCCACTGCCTCCGGCTAGCTCTATTGACCACTGTGATTCTAAGTCTGTGGAGAACTGCTGGGAGAAGCAGAAGGGGTTCAACACCTTGCCAGCCTCCCTCTGCAATCCCAGGCTGTAGGACACTCAACCCCGTGAGGTGGACAGCCAGGCCCCCTTTCCCCAGGGAGGCCAGCCATGCACAAAGATCAACAGTGCCTGGGAAGAAAGGCAGGTTCTTTCCATGTGCAGGGGATCTGCTTGATCACATGAGGAAGAAAAAGGGTCACGCCTAAAGGTCCCAAGTCTTCTGGCCCTCACTCATGACTACTCCAGAGGCTTGGACCAGTTGCTGCCAGCCTGTGTGTGCAGAGTGTAGCACAGGTGTTCCACTGCTGTGGCACGCTCTTCCTGCTAGGGTGTAAATTGCTTTGTGAGGAGATGAAAACACTCAGAAATATGCAACTCTGAAAAAGCAATGAGGCAGCCACCCATAACAGCACACACCATTAGGCCCAGAACTGGGGAGGCAGAAGCAGGCGGATTTCTGAATTTGAGGCCAGCCTGGTCTACAGAGCAAGTTTCAGAACAGTCAAGGTTACACAGAGAAACCCAATCTTGAAAAAGCAAACAATGCCACCACCACCACCACCTCCCCCGCAAAAAAAGAAAAAACAAAGCAAGGTAGCTCAGTGGATAAAGGCATTTGCTGTCAAGCCTGATGACCTGAGTTCAAACCCCAGGACACACAGTGGAAAGACAGAACTGACTCCTACAAGTTGTCCTCTGATTATTCATTCATTTTTATTTACTCATATTCATTTATTTATTCATTTGAAACAAACTTTTTTGTCTAAGTTGGCCCCAAGATTTTGGGCTTTTGTGGGTGTAATGCGGTAGCTTCCTGGGTAACTGGAGTATGGGTATACACTATTCCACCTCAATTCACAGAAGTTTGTTTTTTATCCGAGAAAAGATTTCTCTGTGTAACAGCCCTGGCTGTTCTGGAACTCACTCTGTAGACCAGGCTGGCCTTGAACTCATAGAGATCCAACTGCCTCTATCTCCTGAGTTCTGGGATTAAAGGTGTATGCCACCACCACCCAGCTACAGTAGTTTTTTTAAAGCAGAGAACAATACTCTTTTTGTGATGAGACCTAAACCTGCTGCCACAGCAAAGAGGTCTTAACCCTAATCCTGGCTTTAGACGCTACTTCTGCCTGGGCCTCAGCTTTGGTCTGGAATGTTCTCTCTGAACCCTCTCTACTTCTGCCTGGGCCTCAGCTTTGGTCTGGAATGTTCTCTCTGAACCCTCTCTTGCGCTGCTGGGCCTCAGCTTTGGTCTGGAATGTTCTCTCTGAACCCTCTCTTGCGCTGCTGGGCCTCAGCTTTGGTCTGGAATGTTCTCTCTGAACCCTCTCTTGCGCTGCTGTGCTATCACTCGTTTGTGCTGCCAGCTCCTCAATGGCTTCTCGAGCCTCTCAGTCCACCCACACAGTGTCTTTAACGCACCCCTCCATTTGATCACACTCTGTCCTGCCTCACAGCCTCCAGCCCCGAGCAGAGCCTCTCTGTCACATGGTCTGCTGACACCAAGCTCCAAGCTCAGGTCACTGTAGGACTCCCTCAGGAGTTAGCAAGTGTTTCTGTCCTACCCCGTTCCAAAATGGTCGTCCTGGGCACACCTTCTGGAAGGTCCCAGGCTCCTGCTCTCCCTCACACTATCATTTGTTTTCTGCTACAGTATCTGTTCCAGCACCTGCCCTTTTCACAGGGCACAGAACCCACCATGGGCCACGTCAACATTCGGAGCTCAGCTTTCTGAAGGCTGCAGCCAGCCAGCCAGTGTCTCCTTCAGGAACACCAGAGACCAACCAGAGGCCAGCTTTCACACTGTTTTCATCCTCTGGCTTGTCTGGCATATTGGCCTTGCTTCCCAAAGCTTCTCTCACTGGGTCCCAGCTATTGGCAGCCCTTTGCTCAGGTCAGCTCCAAAGTTATAGAAGAGAACAAAGGCAGCCAAACCACTGCTTCTGGAAAGAATACAACAAAATGAGAAATGCTGTCTTTGTGTGTGTATAATTTTAAAAAGGTACTGGGTATGGTGACTCAAGTCCATGATACCAGCACTTGGGAGGCTAAGGCCAGAGACGTTGCCAGCCTGGATGATGCAATAAGCTCTGGAGCAGCCTGGGCTACAGAGACAGACCTTGTCTCTAGAGATCACAAGCGTAAATGTAAGAACAGTGTGAGATTAAGGACCAAGAAAGGCCCAGCAATTGGCAAGGCCAGGTTCAGAGCTTCCCATGTGACCTGGAGCCCCCAAGTCTCATCTACCTCCTTTGTAAAATCAGGACAACAGAGAACTGGCAAATTGCTGGGAGGCTGAGACCAAATGCATTTCCCCACAGCTGGTAATAGTTAATAATCTCAGACTGGGCATGTTCAAATTAATTTCTTCCACATTAGTCAGTCCTGGCTCTTATATAAAGGGACTCTTCCTTGTGTCAATGTGCAGCTGCCTCCAGAGAAAACCAACATTTCACAATGCCTAGGACCAACCTCTCCAACAGTCGCTAGGTCCCCATTCTGCCCAGATTGTGGTAAACTAAAGGACACACCCCACTTGAGGTGCATGTGGTCTTATTTGGGATTTTCAGAACCCTTGGCACAAGAGATGCCCGCCACTGATTCTCAGACTCACAGCACCCACTCTCAGAACACAGCCTCACACTCAGTAAGCGAAATTCAGGGAGGGTCATAGCTTGAAGGGGGGCACCAGCAAACAGGTAAGGGCCGGACAGTCTTAGCAGCAACCTCCAGTCAAGAAGGCAGACAGGGAGGTGGAAGTGGGACAAAAGGGCTGAGGTTCTGCAGGGAGAGGGCAGAAGGCTGAGTAACAGAGCTAGCTATGAATCTTCTGACAGGAACCAGGAGGTCATGGGTATACAGAGGAGACAGAACAGGGCTGGGTCAGAGTGGGATGTTCACAGAAGGCACTTCACAGGTAATGTCATTACTGATGACTGCAAGGTCCAAAGAAAGCATTTGTTATCAGGAGCCCTTAAGTCCTATCTGCTTAAGTCACTGTCTGCTGGGAACAATGCCAGCCTGCGACCACCATACCACTGCTTAGGACATTTGCCTTCTGAATTTAATCCTGCTGCCTCAGCCCCAGGCCCTCTGCTGCACTGGAGTGGGGTGAGGGGTCGGGGCTGCCTACCGGTGCTGTGTCTCAGGGCGATAGAAATAGTCCACTGGGGTGTCGAGCCGGGAGAAGATGGGTGGGGGAATGTAAAGGGGCAGCTCCTGGTGGAAGAACTCCTCCTTCTCAGGTTTGCGCATGAGCACTCTGTCATACATGGACACATGCTTGCCACCCGCTTCCGTGTGCACTGCCAAGTACTGAAAGTCAGACATTCCTGGAAAGACAAAAGAACAGATGGCAGACTCACTCCGGCTCTGGCACCGCTGTGCGGACGCTCGAATCCTTTCAGAAAGGGGCTGGACGAGCTGTGCAGCACCCTTCTGATGGGTGCACAGATTAGTACAGTAAGAATGGCTTAAGGGGAGGATGGCAGGTAAAGCCAGGGAGCCAATCCATAAAACAGTATGCCCCTGCTTACAATGCAGTATTTCCACCAAGCTCCAGGAGCTGCTGATCCAGGGCTCCACAGAGCAACAGTGTGCTGGCCCAGTTAGAGATACACCTGTGATCTATCAGGAGTCACCTTTCTCCTGGAAGGACAATCCTCATGGCGAACAAGCACTACCAGGAGCCTGCATCCATGCCCAGCCCCGGGGACTCTAGGACTAGGTTCTACTCTTCTTTCCCTTTGTTTTATGTTTGAGACACAATCTTACTGGAATCCAGGCTGGCCTCAAACTCCTCCCCTCTCCTTTTTTCTCTTTGGATTTCCCCTTTCTCTTCTTAACCATTTAGTGGGCAGCAGCTGTAAACAGCTGTGTCTAAGGTGTGCTGATCGTGCGCCAAGCATCTCCCACATGACTCTTTAACAGACACCATTGCTGGCAATCTTGTCCAGGGCCCAGAGCACAGACAAGAGGCTGAAGCAAAGGGAAGCTAAGGCACCTGCCTAAAGAAACTGGTGAGTGGGAGACAGTGGAATGCAGGTGATGAATAAGAACAAATATAATGCTACACATGTAGGAATACGTCACAGCGAAACCCACTAGTTTATATGCTCACTTAAAAACTGGACAACAAACTGTTAGGGCTCATCAGGCATAATTCCAAAGTGAATGCTCTTTGGCTCTGTTTTTCCTGCCTTCCTGCTTCCTCCTTACAGTTCCCTGGAAGGAGCAATTCTGAATGAGGAACCTACACTAGGCGTCCAGTTCAAAGAAGCATGAGGTGCCAAGGGACCCACATCAGCCAGGGAAATTTCAGAGGATAAAACTAGCAGCAGTCAAAACTTGACAGGGGAGCCAGGCAGGATCACAGTCCTATAATCTGGGGGCTAGCACAGAGGTTCAGTGGGCTTAGAGTTTAAGGCCAGCTTGGGAGAAGGCTCTAAAACATTGGTGTCACAGACTGAAGATCTGATCACTAATCTGACCTGGCCCCACACAATGGTTTATCTTAAAAATGGAAAGATTCTCACAGAACTCAGTAGAGTTCTACCTCCTCTTAAGGGTATAAAAGGTTGAAGAGATAGTTCAGGGGTTAAGAGCACTTCCTAGTTTCCCAAGGAACCAGGTCTAGTTCCCACATCAATGACTCACAACTGCCTGTAATTCCAGTTCTGGGGTATTTAACACTGTCTTTAGACATCTACAGGCACTTAAACATATGTGCCATATATACACATAAAAAATAGAAAATAAACACTTAAAAAGAGCCAGAAAGCCAGGTGTGGTGGTGTACGCCTTTAATTCCAGCACTCAGGAGGTAGACGCAGGAAGATCTCTGTGAGTCCCAGGCCAGTCTGACCTACACAGAGAGCTCCAGGACACCCAGGTCTATGCAGAGAGACCCTGTGTGCTGGTTAGTTTCATGTCAACTTAATACAAGTTACAGTCATCTGAGAGGAGGGAGCTTCAATTGAGAAAATGCCTCCATAAGATCGGGCTGTACAGATAAGCCCAAGTGGCATTTTCTTAGTTAGTGATTGATGTGGGAGGACCCAGTCCATTGTGGGCTAGTGGTCCTGGATTCTATAAGAGAGCAGGCTGAGCAAGCCATGAGGAGCAAGCCAATAAGCAGCATCACTCCCTGGCCTCTGTATCAGCTCCTGCCTCTAGGTTCCTGCCCTGCTTAAGTTCCTTGCCTCACTGCTCTGGATGGAACTGTGAGTGAAATAAACCCTTTTCTCCCCAAGTTGCTTTTAGTGATAGTGTTTCATCATAGCAGTAGTAACCCTAACTAGGACACTCTGTCTGAGAGAGAGAGAGAGAGAGAGAGAGAGAGAGAGAGAGAGAGGAATAAAATGTTGGAAGGCAGTATACCCACAATCCGTAAAGGGTTGTTAACTGGAAAAAGGAAAGGATGTCTCCACAATGGGCAACGGTTCTCCCTCAGGCATGGGCATACCCTACCCCACTTTCCATGTGGCTCCATATCAGGCCCTGAAATCACCCGATAGCAGTACAGATGTCAAAGTTACCCTGGAATTTATAAATTGTGGAGATGATGCCAAGGATTTCCAAGTCAAATGTGACCTGGGGTTGGGTCTCGGTCCCTGGGGCAGCTCTCCGCCGTCTGGTCCTTTTCCTGATCCGGAGCAGCATGCTGCTGGTACTGAAACGGTTAGCGCACACAGGGTGGCAGTATGGGTCCTTGGGCCGGAAGTAGAGCTCAAGCCTCTTGGAAGGGTCAGTGTAGATCTGCAGCAATGCCAAGGGAGACATGGGGAGTGGTAAGCAGCTCAGCACCCAGCAGAGAACTGTGCCTCTTCCCACAAAGTCCAGCTGACCACCCAAGAAGGGCCAGGTGACCCTTCTACTTCTAGCTCTTCCTTCCCATAGAACTCATTTTTTTAAAAAATATTTATTTATTATGTATACAATATTCTGTCTGTGTGTATGTCTGCAGGCCAGAAGAGGGCACCAAACCTCATTACAGATGGTTGTGAGCCACCATGTGGTTGCCGGGAATTGAACGCAGGACCTTTGGAAGAGCAGGCAATGCTCTTAACCACTGAGCCATCTCTCCAGCCCCCATAGAACTCATTTTTAAACCCACATTTCCCAGTGTGTAGATAGTACAGAAAAGGAAGTCAAATAGCCTCCTTCTAATAGGTTATAAAGTGAGATAATTAAGGTATCATCTATCAAGTGCAAGGCACAAAAGGACTCTCATAGCTCATCATAGACAGCCTTACCACCATGTTTACTTCTGAGTTGACAGAAGCTTTCATAACTGACTGGGGAGGGCTACCCATGCCAAAAACTACTAGCCTGCTCCAGGATTCAATCAGCAGTCAGTCTCACAAACAGGTGCTTCTAGATCCACAGGGGGCTACAACAGGGTAATGATCATTCTGACAGTCACTGCACATTACTTATAGTCCTCATGGCCCCAGTTCTATCTTCTTATAAAAACAAAACAAGCAAGCAAAATACAACAACAAAAAATCCTAAGAACAGTGTCCACTTCATGATACTGTTACACGGATTAAATTGAAATAGTGGAGCCTAACTCACGGTAAGCACTCAGCCCCTGCCACCTACATGTGAACAAATGTTTGCCCCACATTTGGTAAGAGGCATACAACAAGTGTCAGCTCTGCATGTTTGCACCAAGAATGTGCAATGGCTTGAGGTCACCCACAAGTTCAACTCTTAACTCCCAGTACTCAGGACAGGGCGCCTTCAGGAAGTGCTCAGGTGCAACCTAGGGAAAAGATGGAAGTTAAAAGCCTGGGTGCTGGAGGGATGACTTAGAGGCTAAGAGCATCTGTTGCTGTTCCAGAGGATCGGAGTTTGGTTCCCAGCACCCAGTGCGCAGCGCACAACCACCTGTAACCAAAGCTCTAAGGGGCCCAACACCGTCTTCGGGCTTTCAGAGTCACCTGCAAACACAACTGAAAATAAGGTTTAACTTTTTTTCTTAAAAAAGAAAAGCAGCCTCATTCCTCAGGCATCCCCCCCCCCCATAAAGCACACAGCACTGACCTAACAGAGTAGGGATGACCCTAGACATGGTCTAGCACATCGGTGTACTCCAGAAACCCAACCCAGCAATAGAGGATGATCCCTTGCAGCTATCCCTGGGGTAAGGGAGAATAAGAATTCTGTGAAGGTCATAATGTGAATAATGGAAACTCTACTAACACAACCAGCTCTTTCCAACTCTAGCTGGGCATGAATTCAAGTCCCTGTTGTAACTGTAGCGACTGTCTGGCCTAACCTTTACCCGTCCCCTGGAAATAGAAACAGCAGTATCTGGTTCACTAGATTGTCGTCAGGATTCAATCACATTTTTAAAAATTTTTCTAAAATTGGGAATTATACAGATATTAGTACACAGGTGAACAAGAGAAGTTCCCTGATCTGCATTTACAGCCTCGGGACTACGTAATAAGTAAACAGGTAATAAATGCACCAAAATGTAACAATGGAAGGGGCCAGATATTAACTGACTGTCTAAGGTGTTCAGGGAGTACATTTCTAAAGAAATATCCCAAGATCTGGCACACAAAGCATTACTCTAGTCCCCAACTTGCTGTGTGCCCTTAAACAAACTGTGTCTGTTCACTTGTGAAGTGCAGGTGTTGTCAATTCCTATTCTAGGGGGTTCCAAGGACTGCGGCACGTAAATAAAGCTAGTTCAAAGGCCCTAAAGCCTGCCTACACTCTCTGTTGCCAAGGAAACCGCTCTCCCGCCGAGTAATCCCGCCCATTCGGTAGACTTGGTTCTTTTCCCGCGGTCCTGCAGTTTCCCAGCTCCTTACTCGAGAGACGCCTTCCTCGCCGCCCAGAGTCTGTAGCATCTTGACCTCGTTACGCACCACGCCTGGGTACTCCACGCACACCAGTCGCCGTTCCCGCCGTAGGTCCACGGGGATGGCGGCCTTTGATTCCGCGTCTGGCTCCACCGCCGCCATACCTGCCAGTCCGGTCCCGGGCCGCCGTGGTCCTCTCCTCAAATGTTTCCCCGAGGCCTCATCTCAATGGTTCCGCGAAGAAATGGTTCCGGTTTTCCTTTCCGTTCACGTCTCCCTAAATCACTGAAACTCGAAGGCCTTCCGGAACCAGCACACCACAGTGTCTGTTTATTTTGTACTACAACGGGAAATTTTTTGTTTAAAAAGAAAAGGGGCGGACTGAGGGGCGAGACGAGGGCGTATCCCACCAGCTATCCCAACCAGCCGAAGCCAGGACTCGGCCGGGTCCTTCCGGATATCTCGTCCAGTGAGAACTTAAAGGCGTGCTTAAGGCATCTTCTGGCCTGCCTCCCTTCAGTGAGCCCCTTTTAGGCTGTCAAACAAAATAGTTCACTGAGTCCTTTTAGCCTTGCTCCTGTGTAGATGAGTTTAGGGCTGATCACTTGAGATTGGATATTATGGGGTCATTCTCAGTAGCCACTAATTGCCTGTAGCTCTTTATCTAGGGGTGGGGCTTTGTGAGTGAGATTTTCCCCTTCACTTTGATACCAACAACATGGTGTTGTTTAGGAAATCGTATTATTGAGATTTCGTGGGTACAGCATGCAGAAGGGAGATCTCTCTCTCTCTCTCTCTCTCTCTCTCTCTCTCTCTCTCCCTCTCTTCCTCCCTCTCCCACTTCCGTCCCCCTCCCCCCCCCAGACATAGAGATATGTAGGCTTAGCTGACCTGTAACTCGCACTGTAGACCAGGCTGCCCAATGAACTCAGATCTACCTGCCGCTGCCTCCTGAGTGCTAGAATTAAAGGCGTGCGCCACCACGCCCCAGCGCAGGACCAGATTTCTGACGACCCTTAGAGGGAATTCTGGGTGAATGAAAATGGTGGGCTTGAGGCATTGTGCACCAAGTACTCTACTTACACAGACTCAAAGGCCCGATTCAGGCGTCCTTCTTCATTCCATTAGGCAAATACTAAAGACCACTGTTGTGTGGAGAAATGGATCAGGTAGGCAAAAGTGGATTCTTATAGAAACACTAAGAGACAGACGAGTACAGGCAAGAGATGCCTCCTGGGGATGAGGGAATGACTATGAGAATGAGTTTTTGGAACTGTATTTGAGGATATTAGGAGACTGAGTATGTGTAGGCACCCCAAGTTTCTGAAGTGATTTCTCAAAGAACTCGTTGTAGGTGGATTAGAAAGGCAGAATAGGGGCTGGAGATGGCTCAGTGATTGAGAGTACTTGCTCCTCTCACAGAGGACCCAGGACAGTTTTCTAGCAGCCACACAGAAGCTCCCGGATGCTTATGACTCCAGTTCCAGGAAATCTGAAACCTACTTCTGGCATGTATGTGCTACACATAACAGGCAAAACACTCATATCCATAAGAAGTTTAAATATTTAAAATTTTTGATGAAGGCAGAATAAATCACTGCAGTGTTTATTTTAAAAAGGAAAACATATTTTAAGAAGGAAAGGCATAAACTAATATGAGTTATTTATGATTATTTTGCAATCGGAAGATCCATCCAGGAGTCCAAACCTTTTTAATTATTTTTTAGCGTGTGTGTGTGTGTGAAAAGACTGGAAGAGTGTGTCTGATCTTCTGTAGTTGGAGTTATAGGTGGCTGCAAGCCACCCAACAAACCACCCAACATGGGTGCTAGGAATCGAACTTGGGTCCTTCTGAAAGAGCACCAAGCACTCTACTGCTGAACTAGATCTCTAGCCCCTCTGAGCACAATGAGCTACCAGCCAACAGCAGACACTGGTGAGCTGAAAAGGAACTGAACTAAAGGAATTGTGGTTCTTGGCCTGCCCTCCCCAGTTAGGACTTATATTCTGCCGTGAAAAATATTGTGGGTAGTGAAGCCAGGATACTTGTTCAGAATTTTTCACACACTGAGAAAAACTGGCAATGTGTATTTTTGTTATCCCTTGTTCTCCTAACACCATCTGATGGTTTAATTTTCTAGAAAGGAGAATCTAACATATGTATTTGCTTCTGCTCGCAACTGTACTGTAACAAATTGATGCCCTCACACCATCATGCCTCTGAGTTTGACACACAAGCGTCAGTCTCAAAGCCTTTGTCATCATCTTGCAGCGATGACGGTAAGATATTAGATACACATTACACTGATACTTGGTATGTACTGACAGTGCCTGGTTAGCAAATTTTGCAGCATAGGTTAATCATTTGCTGGTCATGTGAGGGTCTGATTGGGTAGTGTATGCTTTTGTTTGCTGAACATGGCGCCGTGACCTCTGATGAGGAGCTGGGTTCCTGAATCTGCAAAGCTGCTTCTAAACTACATGGAGCCTTAGTAAACCACCATTCGATGTAATGAAGCTCTGGTTTTTCAGCTGTAATCACTACCTTGGTGATATAAGAGTGATTTTAGGGAGAGAGCTCATGCTGTTGCTGTTCTCAGTGGCTCCCCCACCCTCTTCCCTCCTCTGCCTCCCCACTACCTAACTACCAGCTCCTCATCATGGAGGTTTATCTGTAGGCTTTCTTTCCCTGGGAATCGCCCACGACACCTTAAGTCTGGTTTGGTGATGCCCTTGGTGTCCATGACTCAGACTCACATATCAGGGAGCCTGTCGTACAGCCTTATTTAATGCCAGCCTTGCTTTACTGGGTCAGCAGCCTCCTAAGCGTGAGGAATCTCAGCTGACCGCTCTACTGCGGTCCTCTCAGGCCTGAACGTGGGGGCGGGCACAGAGCACACACTCAGGAAAGATGGAGAGAATGAATGAGGCCACTTTCTTGACTCCTTCAAGCTGTCAACTCAACCCAGGCTCAGGACATGGTCACAGAACACTCAGTCAGCCTCATCCCCTAGAGGAATGTCCGTTAAGTGCGCAGGAACCAAGGAGAGGGGCGGGAGAGGAGGGGAAGAGAAGGACCAAGCTGAGGGCATCAGTCCAAGCTTCTGAAAGACAAAAACGTAGTCCTCCCTGGGATCTGAGCCGGGGAGGGCAGGGCGGGAACCGAGAGGAACCAGAAAGGATCAAGCAGTTGATGAAAAGAGCAGCGTCCACACAGGGAGACATTCAGCAAATGTTGTCTCCTGCATGCCTGGGTCTTTGTGAGGCATGGATGATGAAGCAGAAAGCCTGCCCTCCTATAGCTTGCATGGAGTAGCAAGAGCAACTAGCAAAGGAATTGGGCTGGGATGTGGCTCAGTGGTGCAGTGTGTGCTTACACGGTCAAGGCGCTAGGTTCCACCTCTAGTCTTCCTCCTACCTGTCATTACACCAGTAAAGAAAACAGCGAGGATGGGGCTGGAGAGATGGCTCAGTGGTTAAAAGCATTGCCTGCTCTCCCAAAGGTCCTGAGTTCAATTCCCACCAACCACATGGTGGCTCCAACCATCTTTAATGAGGTCTGGTGCCCTCTTCTGGCCTGCAGACATACACACAGACAGAATATTGTATACATAATAAAATTAAAAAAAAAAAACAGCAAGGAAAACTCAAGCCCAAGGCTCTTTACCTGTTTTCCTGCACCAAGCCTTGCCAGATACAGTTTCCCAACAAGCCCTGGGGCTTATCTCTAGGGAGCTGCAGGTGAGTTTTCCAGCAGGCCTGCACAGGTTCAGAACCTGCCCAAGCAGCCTGGGCACACTAGGTGGGGGGCAGGTTTGGCGATCAACACCCTTAACGCCTCTCTGATCACTGCTCTAGGACTAAAGATGTCCTGGGCCCAGCCCTTGGCTGTCCTAATGTCCAGTCAAATCCTAGGCCCTGCCCCTGAAGTACAGACTTGGAGAAGGACAGCTGTCTTATTCTCTGAGGTGAACCTATGTGATCCTATGTGATGGAAACGGGATGCTGGCTGCCTAACAGAATCAAATTCCAAAAGACAGCACTGTCAGGGAAGCAGTCTAACACTTCTCCTATCCAGTGCTTTGCTGAATACTGAATATTGTCGGCAGTGTCCTTTCTTTGGGGAAATCAGGAGTGGAACTGAAAGACTCCTGTGGGCGTCTTCCTTCGGGAGAGACCCCGTGCCCAGAGATCAGTCGAAAACACGCAGCCGGATGCAAGCAGCAAGAGGTTTATTGGATACGCAGGTACCTGGGGCGACAGAGTCTCTCGGAGGACTTGCGCGCCGCAGGTTGGGGGTGAGGGGTTTTTATAGGAGAGCAAAAAGCGATGTTTACAGAAGCAAGATGCAGGGTGGTAAATTCTTAACCTAAATAACAATGAGGGGACTACTCAGCGGTTTACTGTTCCTCTTATCCTGCCCCCCCCTTTCCTGGCTGGCGCCCAGATGTCTGATTGCACAGCCCCTGACTCGTGACGAGCCCCGCTTTATATGTGACTCAGGCCTCGCAATCCTCTCTTTCTTTGTTTCTATGACCAATCCATAAATCTCCTGTCTTGCAGCCAGATAAGGCTGTCCTTGCTCTAACCTCAGGTATCTTTGCTCAGCATTCCGGAGGCCCTGAATTCCGGAGGCCCTTAATTAAGCCTGTTATTTGCTCAGCATTCCGGAGGTCCTGAGCTAGTTATCTGTGAACCTTTGCAAAACGGTATAACTGTGGTTAAAACGAGGGGTCCTTCAGAACATGTATTGACCTTTTATCAATTAGTGAAAAGGAAGGCTTTGGAAAATATTTCTTCTGGGATTCAATAGAGATTGGGTGTAATTCAGAGTATACACAAGATCAGTCTTCAGTTGAGTGCATTCTCTAACACTTCCTGCTGGGCCTTGAGTTTCCTCAGACTGCATGAGAAGTGTAATGTTTACTTTAGGCCGCTAGATGGCGACAGAGCCCCTCCACCTGCTGGCGGTAAGGTTCTCATGACATCCTGAAAAAAATCTAGAAGTTGGGGGTCTAAGCCTGGGGTCTCCAGAGTTTGGCAGCCTCGTGAAGGCTTATGATAGTCCCAGCGCCAGTATCCTGCTCCCTGTCTAATCCAGCTGTGCACACTTAGACACATGTTCAGGGTCTCATCATTGGTGAAAAATGACTGTCGGGACTTGGGCATGGGGGTCTGTAGAGATGTTTCAGTTTTCTCTTTCAGATGAAACAAGCTACCCCACTGGGCATTCTCCTTCTGGTTAGCTTGTGATTCCAAAGAAAAATAAAGTCTAATACAAGACTGGGTTTCAAAGTCTGTTCATGGGTAGAGTTTAAGTTGCCAAGTTAAATATTTTCAAAACTGTGCCTAGCCAAGACATCTTTACAGCAAAGCAAATGAAATATAAGCATTGCTGCCCCCTCAATT